AAGAAATAGAACTAGCAAGCCCATAATATTAGTTCCTAACTAGGACTCCTAAATATATAAAAAGGGGACTTAAGAGGCACCTAGAAACCCCCCCCCCCCCCACCACAATAAACGCCCACCACCCCAAAGAGCTCCAAGAATCCCCTAGAAGAAATCAAGAAAGCAAGAAAGCTTAAAGAAAGACCCTTCATAGCCAAGGAACTAAATAAAGGCTAAGAGGTAACCCATGTCTCAACAAAACCTATTTTTCATAGCTATAATTCCCCCTTAGGGTTTCCCCCATATTATTGTGATTGGCGAGATATGATGATGATTGTTAATGTTTGATGTGATGATCCCATGAGGGATCTTGATAATCTTGATGTTGGGAGATTCTTGATAATTATGGTGTTCTTGATGATTATTTGGAGTCCTTGATGATTATGTGTTGTTCTTGATAATTGTGTGATGCCATTGATGCTTATGTGTTATTCTTACCGAATCTTGCAATTAGAAGACGAATCGTATCCTTGTTGATATAAAAGTGATTAGAACCCTAGGTTGTGTCGTATGATACTATTCTTGGATTATCGGGTGGGGAAATCGCATGTTTGGGTGTCGATTATGTTTAGAAAAGCATGATAGGTTATGTGCCGTTCGTTTCTCGTATTTGATCCGTTAATTGTCTACGTGTTGTCGTTAATTGCGTTGTAAAGTGTCTAAGCATGGTTTCGGGTTCCACAATGGTTCCCGAGGCGAAATTGTGTGATAAGAGTCAGTGGGGGGTAGGGGACCCGCCACCTACCCACGGCCGGAAATTGTATCTCCGGCAGCGGGCAGCCGGCGGGCGGGCAGCTACCCGCCGGCGACCCGCTGCCCGGAACAGTGTTACCGGCGGGCAGCCGGCGGGTGGCCCCCCACCCACCGGCTACCCGCTGGAAATTCTCCCACTTCGGGACCCCGGCTTCCCCGTTTGATGTCCCCCGTTCCCCGTGGTGTCCCAACGGACTCCGTTTATCGTGCCTATGTCTAGTTTGATATTTCGGGTACCGTTCGTATGTTTATGAGTCTATTATATTGCATGCTAGTTGAATTGGTATCCCGTTGACCTAGGTGGAAGAAGTATGAACCCCTTAGGGCTATTCTTAGTATGTGATGGATCACGCATAGGTTTTTGTTATACGTTTTCTCCCCCTTCCCAACGTGTTAATGTGGGTTGCATGTACTTGCTATGTGTTATGTGTGCATGTAACCCCGAGTTGGTTAAGATCAATCGGGCTATACGGGCAGTCGGGTGGGCTGAGAACCATATCGACTGTTAACCAGGCTGGTAGAGACCGGTCAGGTATATAAATATTATTTAGGACTAAGTTCCACTATACGGGCAGTCGGATGGGCTGAGAACCATACCGGCTGTTAACCAGGCTGGTAGAGACCGGCCAGGTATATAAATATTATATAGGACAAAGGTCCACTATACGGGCAGTTGAATGGGCTGAGAACCATCTCAACTGTTAACCAGGCTGGTAAAGACCGGTCAGGTGTATAAATATTATGTAGGACAAAGGTCCATCAGTCGGTTGCGATCGGCTCCTCCGTAATGTGAGACGGGGCAGGGTGCTGCGGGGCCGTGTCAGAGCTATATGCGCTGACCCTCATGTATGGGCATGCGATTGGTCCTGTGGCGCCAACAAAGTGTGCTATGGGATGAGATATGGATGAGTTGTGGTTATGAGTATCTTGGGGAATGTGACCATGGGATTTATGCTGGGGATTGTTTATGTTGGGTTGTGATTATTAATTGTGCTCAGCTTTATCTGTCTTGTTTGTCGTAGATTATATACGCTTGTTATAACTGTTGCTTGTGTCCAGCCTTATCTGTCGAGTCATTCCCGGTTTTAAAAGCTAGAGTTCGTAGGATATATCTTCATGCTCAAAATGGTTTTCGTATATCTATATATATCTCTATATGTAATGTATTTCAACGCGTTGGAGTGGGTTACCAGCATCTCTCGCTGAACAGATATATTTGGCTTTCAGGCACAAAAGAATAAGTCACTGGAGCGCGCTAGAACTTGGAACGTAGATGTAGATAGTTTCCCTTTCGGCCTGCGTGCCATGTTTATGCATTTACTTTACCAAGAATATTAGATAGTTAGCCTGTGCACCTGAGTTCTCTAGCTCAGGTGTGGCATAGCACCCCGCACTCTTGTATTATGTTTTGGGATTTAACGAGATTTCACCTTTATTTTATAAGTTTTAAATATCTTGAAAATCTGGGGTGTTACACATGGCCCCGCAACACCCTACCTCATACCGCAACATGAAGGGGTTGATCGCAACCAACCGTACGGACCGCCGAAAGCTTGACGGCGGATCACAGCCCTACACACCGCTGACGGGCTCAGTCGGTGGACTGCGATCCTCTTAAGGGACTACGACCCAACACACCGTTGATGAGCATAGACGGTGGATCGTAGCGAATCAAGCCCTACACACCGCTTCGGGACTCAATCGGTGGGCGAAGATCCTCGGAGACTACGACCCTACACACCGCTAGCCCTTCACTCGGTGGATCGTAGCCAACCATAGCCCTACACACCGCCTGATCACTCATTCGGTGGGCTATGGTCTTCCTCAGGCTGGTGGCCCTACACACCGCTGGCGCGTCCAGTTGGTGGACCATCCGCACACGAGGCCCATGTGCTGTAGCCCAAGAAGTGAATCACTGACCGCTGCCAGGAAAATGAACCGCGGCTCATGTACAACAAAACAGTGGACCGCAGCCCTATATTATATTTATATACCTGACCGATCGCAACCGGCCTGGTTAACAGTTGGCATGGTTCTCAACCCATCCAACTGCCCGTATAGCCAATTTGATCGCAACCAAATTGGGGAATCATGCATCACATAACACGTTGTAGCACATAATAGCGTATTGGGAAGGGGGAGACATATAAATAAGCTTACGCGTGATCATTCACATACTAAGAATAGTCTTAAGGGGTTCATACAACTTCCACCTAGGTCGACGGGTTACCGATTCAACTAGCATGTAATTCCTAAGACTCTTCTAGCCTACGAACGACACCGTGCTAAGTGTTCAACATTGTGCTTCGTTGGACCAAGAGGTGTCTTGTGTGTTCCTCGGAACTATCTTGAGTTTCCCCGTTGATAAGCATGCTAGTTTGTTGTCTTAATGCTAGCGTGTGTGTTGTTTGTACCTTCCGATTGGTTGATGATAACTTGTGTTATCCATCGTTGTTGTCGTGGGGCTGTGACCCATTCCTTGATTGAGTATGTTTCATACCTTCGTTGCAATCCTTTGATTGATTCCTGTTGAGTTGTGGTGCGTGTGTGGCTCTACCTGGATTGCATGATTAGTGGTATGGGACACTAGTCACCAAGGTATTACAGCGGTCCTCGTGGTGGCCGTGACGTGATTATGGAGATGTGGCCTGAGTGATGGGTCCACGTGATTGGGGGATAACATGTGTTATCCGGGCATGTGTTGCCGTGATTGGTGGTGGTTCGTTGGTTGTTATAGGTGGGGGACGACGGTCCCGGCGGAATAAGGTTGGACTTGGTTGTACAGGGGATCCTGGAGGTAATGGTTGGAAAGAAGGTACAAGGTTGGGGGTAGCCATAAGGTTGGAACAGGGCATAAGGAAGGCATACCAACTCGTGATGGGTGATGTTGCGAGGGCTTGTAAAGCCGGCGTTGTGTGATCTTCTCTCGTGACGTGTGTAGTCACGGAGGCTTGTGTTGTTTTGGCATGTGTTGCCGTTGGGTGAGTCTTTATCCTTGTGTGTGGTTAACCTTTGTGGTTTGGGATGTGTTCCCATGTGGTCTTGAGAGTGATGAGTCTTGTGTTGACATTTTCCTTTATTATATAAGTTTTAAAAGTTTCGAAAAGCTGGGGTGTTACATTTCGTATGTCTAGAACAATGTGTTAGGAATCCATGTTAGGATTTGGTGTCTTAAATCGTGCTAAGGGTCCAACGTTGCGATTCATTTGGCTAATATGAGTATTGAAGGTTCGTTGGAACCATTTTGGTTTACCCGTTTTGATGAACATGCTAGTTTGATGTTGTTATGCTAGTATGTATGGTTTGTTCCTTCTTGTTGAGGATTGGCAACTCGTGTTGCCAATCATTTTGATGTTGGATTGTAGTCCTTTGTTGTTGAGTATTGCTTCATGCCTATATTGAAATCTCTTGGTTGATTCTTATGATGTTATCTTGTACAAATCGTTGTACCCTTTGTTGATACTTGATTGGGGCTATTGATGAGCCTTAGTCTTCTTGATGATGATGACTGTGTGTGAAAATGAATGAGATTAGTGGTTTTGTTACTCGAGCTTTGCTCATGAGATCGGTGGTATGTTAGTATGAATTGAACAGTACCCTCATGTACTTAAGATCGGTGGTATTCTTATTGGTGGTGTAGATTGGTGGGGGGCGACGGTCCCAGACCGGGAAAATGTTGGACTCAAAAGTACAGGGTGGCACTCGGAGGTACAGGTTGGAACTGTGATAAGGCCGGGGTAGCCATAAGGGTGGTACTAAGGTATAAGGTTGGAACGTAAACTTGTCATTATGTGATTGATGTATTTCCTTGCTTATGAGCATGTCTATGATGAACTCTACCTTGTGCATGGTAGGTTGCATGTAGAGTTATGGTTGCCGTTTGTTGTTTGTGGTCTCTATTGCAATGATTGAAGTTGTTGGTCTTGATCCTTGTTGGGAGCGCGTTATGTTTGATTGTCATCTCACCTCTTGGTTTTCCAAATCTATATACTGTATTCCCTAGTTCCAAATGGTTTTGATCATATCTATGTACTTATATTGATACTTAACGAGTATTGGTGGGTTACCGGCTTTATTCGCTAACCGGGTGTTATCCATTGTCTTAACAGGTTTTGATTAGATCGGAGAGCGCGCTAGATGTGGACTCTAGTTAGCGTAGCTTTGTTTCCCTCTGTTTAGATTTGGGCATGTGAGCCTTTGACAGTTGTGGCATGTGTGCCTTAGACAAACGCTTCGTTTGTTATGATGGATTTTGTAGACTTAGCCTGTGCACCCGTAGTTTTATGGGTGTGGCATAACACCTTTCCCGAATTATATTTGCTTCCGCATTTCTGATGTTTGATGTTTAGTCTGTTAATCTTTGAATTTAAGTTTTAAATTGTTGGTAAAATTCGAGGGTGTTACAAGCCGTCAGCACGAGGATTCCGACCACCTCGCCAGACTAATCTATCTCTATATTCCACAAACTCTTGGTGGCTCTCGACAGATCTTTCGTTATGATTCAACGGTTGGAGACGTGGTACTAGCCAATCTCGCAAGGGAACTCGGGGATCATTACTATGAAGACTTCCCGTGCTCGACCTTGGTTGGACTTGGACTGGTTGGGTGACTTTCTCTAGTAACCTACTTAAGTTTTGTTGGGATGTGATGCCCGTTGGTGTCAACACGAGCGGCATGGTTGGAAATGTCGGGACGACTATGCAGTATGCACACGGGCGATTGGAACATGGACTGAGATGGGAAAGGGCACATCACGAAGGGATTTGGAGGTGGATACCCCCACCTGAGAGAAACGATGTCCCTTTTCGGGAACCAAGCCCAGCACAAAAGAATTTGCGACTAAGCTCGGGGCAAAGGTGCACATTTCACCTGCATTGATTGTGTCGAAGCTGACAGCATTTGGAGAAGCTTATCTGAATTGCAACGTTTGAGCCGAAGCTTGTCGGGGTAACACTTGAGAGTGGAAGTCGAACACTGCACGGTCAAAAATTTCCTCCTCATGACTAGTTTAAGGATGCATGGTAGGGGACCCAGGCATAGCTCGTAGTTAATAGTGCCGGTTCGCAAAGACGGCGCCAAAATGATTTGTTAAATTCCACTGGGTATACGTATTCGTATCTTCTTGAGTATTGTAACGGAAAAATGGTGGTTCAGGTTACTTTGATCGAAGGTTAGAGGTTCAGGGGCTTATGAAGGCTTTAAAGAGAGAGAGAGAGGGAGAAAGAGAGAGAGAGAGAGAGAGAGAGAGAGAGAGAGAGAGAGAGAGAGAGAGAGAGAGAGAGCCAAAGTCCCCTTTTAAAGCATCTAGCGGGGTATTTATAAAAGATTTGAGGGGACACATGTTGAGAGGCTGGCATGTGCGACACGTGTTCCTCATGCACTCGGTGGCTTCGTAAGCTGGAGAAGGACGTCTACGTGTTGAGGAAGATCTAATATACCAATGACTGTCAGGCTTGATCTACGCACGATTGTTGATATCTACCTAGAGAGCTAAGTATGTGAGCCTGAGGTCCCTAGCCGAGTACTGAAATCGGGATCGAGCACTACAAGCAAAGGGCATAAGCTTAGTAAGCCATTGAAATGTTTTTAAGCATCAGGTCGTGCCGGTAAAGTACTCCATTAAGGTCGAGTAAGGTTGGGAAAAGGTCATCACCAAATGGGTAGTCGGACCCGATCAAGTCCTTAATGCATAGGGTTCAGCGTATCGGGGTATATTCCCTATTAGGTAACATTCTATGTTTAATACCTAGAATGCATGTTGGACTACTTGGGTTGCAGCTTAAATTGAAATTAACCATCTGATTAAAAATTAGATTGTAACCTCCATAACTAGCTATTAAACTGGAAATAACATATTTAACTCTCAGAAAATAAATTAGAATTAATTGGAATTAAATCCTAAAAGGATCATAATTAACACATTTCACCGAAATGTGAAAACCAAAAAGTGGTCACGCACACGAAGGCACATCCAAACTGTAAGGTGAACCCCGAAAGGTCACTTGGCCAGAAAGTAAATTTCCACAAGGTCACTTACTCGGAAAGTAAATCTCATTTGGTGACCAAGTGGTTACATACCGAAAAGTGGATTCCACTTCACGAATCGTTCATCCAAGAAGTTAGCTTTTCGGACGAGTGGCATGTTTTCGAAAGGTTCTTAGGCACTTTGCAGTTCAATTAGTTTTTTTTTTTTTTTTGGATGGGTTACCAATACACGAGTCTCATTTTGGGATTTGATTTGCACCCCCCCCCCCCCCCCGGCCCAGTGCGTGCAGAGAGAAAGCTTTAAAAGGGACTTGTATATATACTAGTGCAAACCCAGCCGCCTCGTCTTCCTATTCTTGACTGCTTGATTGGAGCTTGCCAAGTTTCTGTCACCAATTCCTTGAAAGGTGATGTTGTTGTTGAGTGCTGGAATTTCAAAAGAATTAGTGTGATTTTTTTTTTTTGGAGCTTAGAATATGCACACTTGATATTATACTTTATTGTTGTGCATTCACCTCTCTCTTCTCTGTTATATTTCGTCGTGTCCTTGATGTTCAAGTATTCATGCAATCATGCCTTTTATAGATAATCAAATGTATCTGTTGGAGCGAGATAATTTGATTTTGAATTCTTGGAAGTTGTATCTTGATCTGTTGAGTTAACACTTTGATCTCCACTTTTGGCTGCTCCAATAACTTTATCTAATATGTTGAATTTTTCTCCTTGCAGCTTATGTAGATACAGGATTTATTGACTTTGATAACCTTTCCACATTTGGCAACTGATCTTCAATACTTTTTCTTCTCTCACTAATTTTGATTGTGGAATTGATCTTCAACTCTTGTTGATTTTGCGGGTTCGAAGGGCTTTTCTTCATTCATCTTGCCCTCATTACTCTCTTCTCCTTCTCTTGTTCTTCTTCCTTTCGTTCTTATTAGGACTCTATGTATCTGAGTCTGTTTAGAACTTCTTATCCCTGTCACACTATGACTCTCTATTCTTATCCCTGTCACATTGTGACTCTCGATTGTATATATTCACATCATCTGATCTCATTGTAATTAAGTTCAGTTAATACAATACAATCAGTTCTCATCTTGTATCAGTTAGCTAGAGTTTACAATCATTACAATTACCCTTGTGGCGTGGTTGTGTTCATCATTACAATCATTCACACTTTATCAATTGAATTGAAATTTCCAAAGGAAGAACTTCATCAAATTTACGTGGAAAACCAAAGGAGGACATTCATCAACTTTGATCCCAACATTGTTTCGACATTAAATTCAATTGTTGGAATAGTGGAGTCGTCTTCGCCCTTCTGAAGCCAATTGCGGATCGTGATCATCATAAAAAAACAAAAAAAAATCCAATAGAATGGGTAGTGGCAGACATGACTATGATGATCTGTGTCAAATTTGTAAAGGTTTTGGTCACACGGGAGTCAATTGTTTTTGGCGCTATGATGATCCATATCAAATTTGTAAACGTTTTCGTCACACGGGAGCCAATTGTTTTTGGCGCTATGATGATCCCTGTCAAATTTGTAAACGTTTCGGTCACACGGGAGCCAATTGTTTTCGGCGTTATTCAGGGGCTCCTGGTTCTCAGGCTAATATGGTGTTTCACGATGGTTTGGGAACTAAAACCTCGTCAAATTCTCATACTTGGGTTCCGGACACTGGAGCCACAAATCATGCAACTCCAAACAAAGTTGTCTTTTCTACCTCGGACAAGTACTCTGGTAATGTCACTTTACGTGTCGGTGATGGTATGGGTCTATCTATTAGTCATGTTGGTCATGCTACTTTTAATACCCCTTCTAGGTCTTTTACGATGTCTGATATATTGCATGTTCCTGGTTTGTCCACCTCTTTATTATCTGTTCAACATTTTGCTACGGATAATAATGCGTTCTCTGAGTTTCATCTTTCCTTTTTCTTGTGAAAGATATCACCACCAAGGAAATCCTCCTACGTGGTAGTAGTTCGGGTGGGCTATACACTTTGCCTGTTCCAAGTTCGTCCCCTTCAGCATTTCTTTCCGCTCGTGCCTCGGCTTCCACTTGGCACAATCGTCTGGGTCATCCCCATAGCCGTGTTCTTAGCCATATACTTCAATCCTGTTTAATTAGTGGATCTCGTGATATTATTCGTTGTAATAATTCTTTATGCAATGCATGTCAATTGGGTAAATCTGCCCGTTTTCCCCCCCCCCCCCCCCCCCCCCCCTCGTGTTGCTTCCTCTAGTTCTCATGTGCTAGATCTTATTTACACAGACATTTGGGGCCTTGCACTTATTTTATCTACTTCTGACTTTCGTTACTTTGTAATCTTTGTGGATGACTATTCCCGTTATACATGGTTGTTTCCTATGAAATTAAAGTCTGACCTTTATGTCATCTTTGATAAATTTCGTACTCTTGTTGAAAGGTCCTTCAATTGCAAAATAAAATCCATTCAGTCTGATTTAGGTGCTGAATATAAAAAATTGCATTCCTCGTTTGTTCAATTAGGAATTCAACATAGACAATCCTGTGCCTATATACATGAACAGAATGGTCGTGTTGAACGAAAACATCGTCACATTGTTGAAACTGGTCTGACTCTTCTAGCTCATGCCTTTGTTCCTTTGAAATTTTGGGATTTTGCCTTTCAGACTGCTATCTATTTAATTAACAGAATGCCATCTTCTGTATTAAATAACTCCAGTCCTCATCTCCTGTTACATAAATCCCCTCCTTCCTATCTTTTTCTTCGTGTCTTTGGGTGTTTATGCTACCCTCATCTTCGACCATATAATCGTCATAAGATGTCATACAGGTCTTCTCCATGTGTCTTCCTAGGTTATCCTGAGTCCTTTAGGGGGTATAGATGCATGGACTTACATACTAATTAGATTTACACATGCAGGCATGTCAGATTTGATGAAGAAGTTTTCCCCTTTGCTACTAAAACTTCTTTGCAAGATCTATCTACTCCGTTTTCTGGACCATGGGCGGAATCTGTTCTCAGTCACAGCACACCTATTCCTGCCATGTCCAATGATGAGCTGCCAGAACTGCCGCTACCAGCTTCATCCGAACCAGCCTTGGATCCCGGACAGCCTGCCTCGTCGGGTGATCCCATGGAGCCCGTTGCTCGCCAGCGAGGCCGTCCACGTGGGCGGTCCACCAGGCCAAATGTCCGTACTCACTCTATGGCCACTCGCAGCAACACAGATGCTCCTCTTTTT